ACAATAACAATAACATAACCTCAATAATAATTTATTTATGCCCTTTAATAAAACTTTAATAATAATATGCCCTTTTAATAAAACTTCAATGATAATTCAATAACCCTTTTATAATTCAATTATCTTCAATAAAATCTTTTAATAAAACTTCAATAAACTTGCATATAATAATAATACGCCCTTAATAAATTCAATAACTTCAATAATAATATTCTCAATAAATTCGCAATAATTATTCAATGTAATAATACGTTTTACACCATTATACTTATACTCGACTACTTAATATAAGGTACTTATGTTTTAATAAAATGTGTTTTAATGATTTAGAACAGTTTAATTATGATTTCGTGGTAGTAGAGGTGTAGCGGTGTGTAATGGCTGGTGGCGTGAAGTGACTTCGGACTTGCTGGTCCAGGTACATCTGATCTGGCTGTGCTCCTGTCTCCCTTATATATGCTGTCAGCTCCTTTGATCTGGTCAGCATACGGAACTCGCAGGCGCCTTGGGTGTGGTCGTAAAAGTTTTTGTTGTTATCGTAATGAAGAAACCCCGTCTTGTGTTCATAGATTGTTATTATAAGATTGCTAAATGCTTTTACAAGGATAACCACATAATAAGGAAAAGCGGTTTATTCTACCTTCAGTTATACTTAATACATGCCCATTACAACAGATTCCGATCTCAAAATGCTTAGAATATAACTATATTATTAATTTAATTTTTAATAGAATGGTTCTATTAAAACAATGTTCAATATTTAACGCATCATTAAAATCCAAAAATCTTTAAAAATGATTTTACACTATGATACTTTGAGGAGGAATTATAAAGAATTTAAATCAAAAATGTTTAATGTAAAAATGAAGATTCTAACATAAATAGCAATGGAGTTATACTTAAATGAAAAATATGAAGCGAAGGGTAAACTTTTAATATGCATAGTCCGCGACAGGAAAAGTGGCCCCTGTGTACCGCGACACGTTGCTGCTTCCGCCACGTTCCCCACCCGTGAGCCATTGGTTCTCAACATATGCCGCATACTGCGTGGCTGCGCCACTTTTATAATACATATTTTACAAATATAAAAAGAAACATAGTTGATTTGTTTTTTTGGGGCACCTTACCGGTTATCTTCGTATTACATCTGTCCAGACTATAGGGCTAAAAAACCAGTTTTTACTGGAGTGTCTGGAAGACAGCTGCAAAACGTACTGTAGTAGGGATACAGTGATGCACATAATACATACAGAGTACAGACCCTATGACCCTCGTGTTATATCGTTTTGTCTGTTGTTCACTGTCCGTTCGTAAACAACAATTTTTTACTCTACTTTTTCTCCTCCGTAACCATTTAACGTTACTGTATAAATTATTTAAAAATGTCGTTTGTCGATAAAGATATTCATAGCCATAGTAAAAAAATTATTTATAGTGTGTATAAATTTTTAAAACAACTGTCAGAGAAATCAGATTTAACGGCTGATTTTTTTAAAAGTGCTCAAGTCATTACAGCCCAAGCTTGTGGAATATCTCATCTTACTGTAAAACGAATTTGTGCTGAAGCAAGAAAAAGAGTTGATCCAGAAACACCAGATGCGAGTCCTACGTTTATTTCTCCGCGTAAAGGATACAAACGCGCAAAAACGGTTTCAGAGCTTGATGATTTTGATTCCGATATTGTGAGAAGGACTGTCTACGAGTTTTATGACCGGGGTGAGTACCCAACTGCTCAATTAATACTCAATGCTGTAAGAAAAAAAACAAATTATACCGGGTGTGTTCGATCGATGCAAAGGCTCCTTAAAAATTTAAAATTTAGCTACAAAAAATGCAACGATGGTCGTTTGTTTTTAATGGAGAGGAACGATATCGTCGCGCTTCGGTGTAAATTTTTAAGGCAGATGAGTATGCTGCTAGAAAAAAAAGACGATCGACCTTCTGTTTACCTCGACGAAACGTGGGTAAACCAAAATCATTCACGCACTCTTATTTGGCAAAATGAACACAATTCGATGGGTCTAGGTACCAACTGGTAAAGGAGGTCGGCTTATTGTATGTCACGCAGGATGTGCTCGATACGGGTTCATTGAAGGGTCGAAATTGGTGTTTCGTACTTTCGTAGTAACAGCGGAAATACAATCGATTACCACCAGTGCCGCAACTACACCATTTTGGGCCCGTGTGTAAATACAATTTATGCCCCCCCCCCCCCGCTTGAAAATTGAAAATTGACTTATTCACTATTGTAAAATTAATTTTTCCAAATTTTAAAACATACTTTGAATTTTGAGTTATTACTCAATAATCAATACTTATACAAAATAAGGTAAACATAATTAAAAAATGTAGGTAATTTATTTACAAAAAAATAAATATATCATCACTTTAAAAAATTCATTTTTCTGCTTTTTTGTTAGCAAAATTGTCTATTATATTTTCAATGTTAATATCATTTGTTTGTTTTTTTTTTTCAATATTAAGCAAAGCTATACTTGAAAGTCTTTCTTGGCCGATTGAGTTCCTTAAGTAGTTTTTGATAAGTTTAAGCTTTGAAAAAGATCTCTCAGATGAAGCAGAAGTCACTGGTATAGTCAATAAAATTATAATACCAATATATAAATCAGGAAATATTGATGTCAAATCTTCTTTGACAATAGTATCAGCTAAATCAAGAATTGACATATTTATTAAATGATCGGTTTGATATTTGGAAGATAAATAGCCCTTGATTATAATAAGTTGACGAGTGAAGTCAGAAGTGATATCTTCTTTATATTTGGTAATAAAGTCATATAATGACTGAACAATCAATTCATCAGCCATTGACGTTAATATTTCAGGCATTAATATATTAAAATCATCACACACAGTTTTCATTCCTTTAAATCTAACTCTTAACTGTAATAGTACTGTATCTACAACTGGGTAAAAGATAGTAACTCTAAAATTATCATCAGTTGTAGTAAGCCGGCGATCACTGTCTACTTCATCAAAATATTTTTTAGCATATCTTTGACGTATTTCACTTAACTTGAAGGGTATATTCCACTTCATACACAAATTTCTTGAATCTTCTAATATTTGGTCATATTGATTCCGCAACTTTTCTATAATTAAAATAGCACTTTCTAATTGTGTTGATGCTCTTTGTAAGCTTAAATTTACTGATTGCATACTCTTTGAGGCCACTTGTAAAGATTTTAAAATGGATTCCCATATACATAAGATAATTACAAATTCAGCATTTTCCATTTTTTTTTTTAAAGTTGTAGCCATATTTATTTCATCTTTTTTGGAACTTGAAAGCTGGATATTAAAAAGAGCTTTCAAAACATCAACAAACCTATGTTTTAATGAAAATAAAGCATTATGTCTTGCTTCCCACCGAGTAGGACACACTTTTTTTAAAGTTAATTTAATTATTTTCATCCCGTACTCTTCACCAAAGGCTAGCTTGGTGAACTTGAGCTAAAAAAATTATAAATGTCTTGCACACTATCAAAAAATGATGGTATTTTCCTTGAACTTTTAGCAGCATCACATAAAACTAAATTTATATTATGGGAACAGCAATGAACAAACGTAGCGTTGGGCACAATATCACAAATTCGTTTTTGAACACCTGTTATTGAACCACTCATCACTGCTGCCCCATCGTACCCTTGACCCCGACATTTCATTATATTTAAATCTAATTTCATTAAAGTATTTTGTAAAAGTTCCACATAATTTGCTGCACCATGATGGGATAGTAAATAAAAACCAAGAAATGACTCTTTAATTTGTATTTGTTTCTTTTCAAAATCTAATGTGGTATAACGAATTACAAGACAAACTTGGTCTTGTTTGGTTATGTCTTGAGTAGAGTCTAATATAACAGAAAAAAAACTACTAGATCGTATATTATTACAAATTAAATGACGTAACTCTGTAGATAAAATGTCTAACAACTCATTCTGAACAGACCAACTTAGATACTTAATTTTTTGATTTTCGTCATGTAAATAGGATCAAACTCTGCGAGTAATCGAACTGTTCTAAAAAATTTTCCTTCGGTGGCATTCTTAATTTTAAGGCGCCCTAAATCAAAAACATTAGGTAGGTATTAAAAAATATTTTACAACACTGAAATACTATTAACATAATATGCCTTAAATTCAAAAATCAAATTTTGAGCTGCTAGTGTACCTATACCTGTAGAAGTGCTAACACCAGGAGAGTTATTATTCTCATTCTCAGTTGTATTATTTATGTCGTGTCCATCTTGTTTTGAATCTGAAATACTTTTCAGATCATTTTCAGATATTTGTCCAGCACTTTTAAATTCTACATCACACTCCACATCTATAAAAACAAAATTAAATATGTTATTATTGTTTTATTTATTATATTACATATTAAGTAGGTATAATGATTAATCATAGAATTTGAAAAGAATTTGGCTGCCAAAGTTTTTTTTTGAAAACTGTGACTGCTTGATAACCGAACTTTTTCGTCGTGAGTTGGAAACAACCGATACCCCTTCTTTCAAAGTTCACGCGCGCAGTGCGCATACACCAGCCACCTGTGGGCTGTGACCTGTCGGCAGTCGCCCGACGGCGCAAGTACGCTACGCTTGTGATTTGCAACTGTATTTCATATAAATTAATAATTATCTCGGAATGCTGACATTATTATTTTTTATCGAAATTAATTTGTTAAGTATAATATAATAATCATAATATTATAAACATAAAAAAAGTTCATGAAATGTACATTTTATTTTGACTAAAAACATTAATAAATCAATCAACTTATCATCTTAAATACAAAATATTGATCAAAATTAAATACATTTTAATCACGTCATACATAATTTTGACTATAAAATACTATTAGATAAATACAAAAATAATATAGAATAAAAATAAATTATACCTAACAATAAAAAAAAAATATTTTTTAGTCATAAATAGTTATGGACAAATTATTTTTTAAGTTCATATTTTAAATATAATTTAATCGGTGTCTGAATTGTCTGATAAATATCTAAAGTCTTCATCGTCGTCTGATTTTTCATCCGTGTCGTTTTCGCTATTGCCTACGATTAGAACGCATGGTTGGTTCTCTGCAGTCATAACATCATCGACCACGTTATCCAATTCCCAAGCTTTTTCTTCCTCCTTTTTCACGTGTCGAATAAAGTTTTTCCACATATCACCATCAATTTTGTTCACCCCTTCTTCAAGTAATGTTTTGACATCTGGTAGTTTAAATGTTTTGTTGTTGTCTCTCACATATCTTTTCACTGCAGCCCATGCAAGCTCAATAGGGTTAAGCTCACAGTGGTAAGGAGGTAATCTGAGGACAATTTTATTATTAGCTTTGACCATCTCATCGATAAAATACTTATTGTACAATGGTTTGATTTTCTTGACAACCTCTAACAATTCTAAAATGTTCATTGTTTTGTCGACTACCTCTCCTTTGTTTTGGAGCCACTCAATTATGTTAGCTTTTCTCCAGCTTGTTGTTGGGCATTTCTCCGTTTTTACCGAGTGGTAAGGAGCGTTGTCCATCACGATAACAGCGTTTTCTTCAACTCCGGGCAAAACACCTTGCAACCAATCACGAAAAGAGTCTCCGTTCATCTCATCGTGATAGTCTCGAGTATTTTTTTTTTGACTCAAAGCTCAAAAGTCCTCCATGTACAAATCCATCTTCGGAACCGATGTGACAAACAATTAAGCGTTTTCCCTTGCCAGTTGGATTTACTGCACCAGTTGAAAGTCCCGCAGACGAAGCCATTCTAGCTGTTAAAACGCTCTTATCAACCCATATTTTACTATTGACATCTCCGGCGTTCACCCATGTTTCGTCCAAGTAGTAAATTGGTCGACCTTCTTCGCGATATCGCTTGATGTCTCTTAAATAGTTTCTCCGCCACAGAATAATATCTTCTCTTTCAAGCAAAGCAGTATTACGACCTCGCTTAGTGAATACAAAATCCATTGATTTCAACAATCGATGCAATGATGATCGAGAAATATTTGGTAGATCGGCTTCTTCATTGACTGCTACTAGAACCTTGTTTAACGTAGGCATTTCACGATTGTGCCAAAATTGATGAACTTTTCTCCTAATGGCATATTTGTCAAATTCATCTACTTTGTCATATATTTTGACCCTATTTTTAGTTTTATTTGGCGAAGAAACGGTTTTATTTCTTTGGTACTCCAATACCGTATTATAAATTGTTGACTGTCCGATTCCAAGTTGTGCAGCAAGTATTTTTTTTTAGATGAAGCATTTTGTATTGAGAATTTTCAATAATTTTCGCTTTATACGCATTGATGATCATAAATCTTTGACTTGAAGAAACAAACTGAAAAAAAGTGGGTAAGTGGATGTTTATCTTGACAAGATAGTGTTGAAGAAAATCGAAGCAGTTTCACTGCCCCAAACCGTGGTGACAGACACAAAAATAAAAAAATAAAATAAAAAAACACACATCATTGTAAAATCAATACATTCATCGTTCCACTCAGAATATAAAATAAAAATTTTGAATACAATGTTATCATCAATTAAGCAATAGGTATAGAGAAATTATTATAAATCGAGTCAATTTCAATTGAATTGGCTATATAGTCAATTATACAATTTTCAATTATTTTCTATAAGTAAATGATAACATTTTCAATTTTTTTTAGATTCTAAGCGAAGCGATGAATGTATTGATTTTACAATGATGTGTGTTTATTTTTTTATTTTTTATTATTATTTTTCATCACGTTTTAGGACAGTAAAAATGCTTGGATTTTCTTCAACAGTATCTTTTCTGATAGGAAAGTGAATCTAGTTGGTACTTTGGGGGGTCAAAAGTAAAAATTTCCCAGTAGTTTTCAAAAGCGCCGGGTAAAACAACATAAAAATTAAGGAAAAACGGGAATTTTTACGCAAAATCGGTTTTCCGACAAAATCAAATTTGGTGTTGGATGTAACTTTAAAGTGAATGATAGTAGATACATGAAATTTTAACTGGTTGTTTATATGAGCATTTTCTATACAAGATGACATTTTCAAAATATTTTGATTTGTTTTGAACTGTTTGAGGACATAAGCAATTTTCGTTTTTTTTTAGTTTTTGTTTCTATAAATGTCAATTAAAATTTATTTGTTGGGTACAAATGCTTGAAAATTTAATACAAAGCTCCTAAGTAGGTAGAATTAGACAGTTCTAACAGCTCATCCTGCTGGCTCATCCCTATACCCGTATGCTCATCCCATTACACCGTCTGCTCATCCCATTACACCGTCTGCTCATCCCACTATACCCGTCTGCTCATCCCACTATACCCGTCTGCTCATCCCACTATACCCGTCTGCTCATCCCACTATACCCGTCTGCTCATCCCTATACATTGACGGCTGCTGAACCCACCATATATCACACACGATGTACCCCCGCCACCCCACCACCTATGACCACCGCTCGACATTGCCGCCGCCGGAGTTTGTCGTTTGCGCATCATTAGTACCTCAGGTAAGAAATTTGGTAGGTCGTTTGCCCATCGCAAATTTTAACAATAGAAAGGTACCTACTACCTATTACCTATCTACCTATTAGTGACATGACCGGATATGTTGGTGAGATAATATGTATAACTAATAAGTTATACTAAGATGTGGAACTTTTTAAAGGAGTTGTGTGGTTCATTTAATTTGTTGTTCATTCCTAATTTAATGAGAGCCGATTTTGAAATAAGCTCCCATATTGCAATTAAGTTTGTTTTTCCAGAATGCAAAATACATTTATTTATTTTTTTGGTAAATGTGAATATTAATTTTGTAAATTTTTTAAATATGAATTATGAATATTGACGATTATTTTTGTAAGTGTAAATAAAACCTGGTATACGTAATTTGCAATGCGCAATCGGCCTATAAAAAGGTTACTTGTAACAATAGCTAGGGAAAACACCCTATGCCTTTTAAAACAATAGTGTTGCGCAAACGGCCTACAAAAAAGGTCATTCATAACAATAGCGATGCGCAAACGTCCCACGCCCGCCGCCGCGCGTGGAAAATAATTTAAAAATATTATCCGCCGGACCGTGATTCGAACCCGGTTAACTTGCATGATAAGCGACAACCGTACCACTGGGCCGCCTACTCGCATCTGTTTGAGAAGGTATATTCTATCTCATTTAACTGGCGTCCGCTTACGTACGCGAGGTATAAATTCCCCCGCCACTATACCATTTACCCCCTCCCGATTAACCTGTAGGGACTTTTCGATGTCTCCCCCACCAATTAATATTTAATTTGCTCGTTTATGAACACAACTACACAACATAAATTCAGTCACTCTATATAATCGTTCCAAGTGTTTCGCGTGTGCTTGTCTCATATTCAGTGTTAAAATCATAATTATTTCTCAGTGCGTAAAATAAATATGGCTGGTCCAATTGAAAATATGGAAAATATTTACAAGAAAACTTACAAATATACACCACCATCGCCGCCAGCTAATCTGATCGATTGTACTACATTCTTTATTGATAGCAATATTTTTATAAATATAGGATTAGATCCTGATTTTTTGTTTAATTGCGTTATATACATCTCAAATAACTCGCAGTGTGTTAAAATGAGTATTGAATTCTATAAATCTCTAATTAATATAGCTCTTAACTACATCAATTTTTCACGACCATCTCATTTAATGCTGAAGGAGCTTAAATTGGCTTCAGTAGATAAATACAACGGTGACAACGTTCTCTCGATAAAGTGTTTGCAACAGGATCAACATGTACAACTAACTAAAGCAAATGTTTCAAGGATCTTGCAATTAAGTGATGCCGTGGAAGAAGTTATTCAGATGAAAAATATATATATACGGCCTAGTGTATTAGGTCAGTCCTGTGGTATTTCAAGGTATCTTGGAAAGGAAATGCCGTTACCCAAAGATACAAAAATAAGCGAAGCTGAAGATTATTTATACCGTATCGATGTCCAAGAATTGAAAAAACAACTTAAGTTAACTGGTCGTTGTTTCGTAGCAGATTTGAAAATCAAGGCAGTCAAACAATTGGCAAGGGGATGGTTAGCTTCTTCGAACGAAATTGAGGTAATACGATTTTATTTTTACATATTATTTTATACTAAAGAAAACAAATTTTTTTAGTCTGAAGTAACCAGACCGAGGACGATGGCATTCGTAGCACGTGAAACCGCAAAAGCAGCCCGGAGATTAAGTTTTCGTTAAGAATGTAATATTTTATTGTAATATGTAATTTTTATATTGCTGTCAATAATTTGTATTTAAAAACGCGAACCAATAATATAATATTGTATTATGTAATTTTTATATTGCTGTAAATTATTTAAAAACGTGAACCATTAATGTAATATTTTATTGTAATATGATATTTTATTACTTATATATATATATAATAAAGAAAACAACATGATATTTAAAAAAAGTATTTTTATTTTACAAATTATTTACAATTTCCTTAAGATATATAAGTAGAGCAGATTGTTGTAATATATTGTGTAAAATAAAGAACTAAAAAAAACATTAAAGATATGGTACATTATCACACATATCTAAAAATATTAGACCATTTTCAGATTATAATCCCATTCGAATAAACATCTCGCTAAAGCATACACCGGAATGTATCCCAAATATATTATAATATAATATAGTTTACATATATAGGTACATACTAACATAAATTATATCCAAACAATTAATAATTATATACACATCATTATCACAAACTCCTGAACATATTATATAATTTTCATAATATATACGATACATAGGTATATTTATACATATAAATATGATATGACCAAACACTTACAAACTATAATATACTATGAAACACACGATACCATACGGTACTCATCAGTTTTCATTCTGAACACACGCTCAACATATATATTATATACCTTATCATACATACAAGCATGCATACACACACACACACACACACACACACACACACACACAAACGCACGATTCCAGTATTCCATATAGTACACAAACAAGCCACCCAGTCCTTTATTCATTCAATTACATATGAACTCTTATACACATACATACATACATATATACATAAATTCAGTCACTCTATATCGTTCCAAGTGTCTACTCCGCGCGTGTGCTTGTCTCATATTCAGTAGGTTAGTAATGGTTTGAACACTATACCATACGGATATTAGTACACCCGATATATAGGACAATCCGACGACCCTGTATTTTGTCACGTGATGGGGATCAGTGGTGGCGGCGGCGGTAGGGATTTTTGAATGAATGAATAGTCACTATTCATTACTGTCCGCAGTTGGTGTTATAGTGCTCTATTATATACATCTCGTTCGCTCTGCGCTAATACTACGCACGTAATTATTATATAACGTATTAATTTTTTCTTATCCGTTTATTTTAAAATGTTTAAATGCGAGCAATGTTCTTTGGGATTCGTATACGAGTCAAATCTGATCGCTCACCGAAAAACACATTCGAAATTGTTCAAATGCAGCAAATGTGCTTCGGAATTTACAGCGAAACGTAATCTAACAAGACACCAAAAAACGCACGATGGTATTCGTATACCGTGTATTAGGTGCGGTATTACGTTCAGTTACAAGACCAACCTCAATAAACATTTGAAAAATGTTCATGGTATGTACCTATTTTCTATATTCACTTTAAATATTTATTTTAATTTTGTCATCAGGTATAGTACAGATCGCGCCACACGTTTTTGTACCAGACTTACAACCTGGTACATCGCCCGCTCGTAAAGATTGTGTATCAACTACACGAGATAAACAAAATGTTCGCTTAACGCCCATGCGAGATAACATGACGGATGCATTGACGAGTAACGCGAATGAATGCTGGGAGGTTCTCGACACCGCAGATCTTCTCGGGCAAAATGATCGCTTATCACCCATGCGAGATAACATGAAGGATGAATTTTGGAGTAATGTGAATGATGATTTATGCTTGGAAGTTTTGGACACCGTTGAGAATCTTGGACTTCATGATTTTTAAGGTTAGCTATTTCTTTTTATAAACGCGT